CCTTCAATGCACCTTGGACTTCCTCCTTCAATATCGTTGGCTCTTGATCCTATGCTACCTCTTGAAACGGTTAAACATCAACCATTTCCTTTTGGTGCAGTGACTCTGTGTATTCCTTCCATTTTCTTTAGGTGCTTTCTGCATCATTCAATAATTTGTTCAAAGAATCCTTCAATAATGAAAGTTAAGGCTTGAATTTTTTCTTCAGTTCCCCCAGCTTGAGAAATGTTGAGCGTGTTCTTCCTTTTTGGTTTTCTCATTCCAGATCTTTGCACACTTGTTATAATACTTGGCTTTATCTTCTCGAGCTTATCTTTGAAATTTTCTGTTCAGCACTTGGATCTCCTCATTTCTTCCATTTGCTTTACCATGTCTAAGCTGGAGAGCAAGTTTCAGAGTCTCTTCTGACATCCATATTAACCTTTTCATTCTTTCTTATCTTCTTAATGGCTTTTTGCTGTCTTCCTGCATGATGTTCTTGATGTCATACCACAACTCTTCTGGTCTTTGGTCTTTAGTGTTTAAGGTATCAAATCTGTTTTTCAGATGATCTCTAAATTCAGGTGGGATATATTCAAGGTCATATTTTGTCTTTTGTGGACTTGTTTTCATTTTCTTCAGTTTCTGTTTGCATTTGCATATGAGCAATTGATGGTCTGTTTCACACTATGCCCCTGGCCTTGATTTGATTGATGATATAGAGCTTTTACTTCATTTCTTTCTACAGATGCAGTCAATTTGATTTCTATGTATTCCATCCGGTGAGGTCCATGTGTATAGTCGTCTCTTATGTTGTATAAAGAAGGTATTTGAAATGAATAAATCATTGATTTTGCAGAATTCTATCATGCAATCTCCAGCATATTTCTATCACCAAAACCATATTTTCCAACTATTGATTCTTTCTATTTGTTCCTACCTTTTGCATTCCAATCACCAGTAATGATCCATAAATCTTGATTGCGTGTTTGATCAATTTCAGACTGTAGAAGTTGGTAGAATTCTTTGGTTTCATCCTCACTGACTTTAATGGTTGTTGCATAAATTTGAATAATAGTGGTATTAACTAGTCTTCCCTGTAAATGCATGGATATTATCCAAAACATCATTTTTTTAACTGCTTTTTCCATGAGCATTTGGTTGTATATCCATGTAAAACAAAATCCTTCAAAACTTCAATCTTTTTTTCTGTTTGTCATGATATTGTTTAATGGTCCAGCTGTGAGCATGTTTTCTTTACATTTAAATATAATCCATACTGAAGGTTGTAATTTTTGTCTTCATTTCTAATGCTTCAAGTTCTCTTTGATTTCAGCAAGAAAAGTGTCATAAGCATATTCTGATGTCGCATTCTTCTCATATACTCCAGCTCCTTTGATTTGCTATAAAATAATAGTTTTATGTACATATTATCTACAACAAAAATGTTATAAGTAAATTTATTGTTGTTATTGTTAAGTGTTGTAGAGTGTATTCCAACTCATACGACCCTGAAGAGTAGCTGGTAGGTTTGAACCACCAACCTGGTTTGAATCACAGTCCATTGCTGATCCTACAGCACCATACCAGGTGTCCATAAGTAAATTTAATTCCAGGAAATACTTTGTTCCCCTTTAGGTACTGGCATGGAAACATTTTAGACAACTAGTGATAGCTAGCTTATAATGTTACCAGATGCCAAGTAACTCAGAAACAAATCTGATGTTCAATCACATATTTATGCTTTCATCTTTTTTGGTCCTAATTTTCTGTTTTCATTGCATTCACTCAAATATGTATGTAGTGAATTGTCCATATCATCTTGGAAATAAAGCAGGACCTAAATAACATCAATAGAGTCCCTAGGTGACATAAATAGTTAATGTCCTAGGTTACCACCTGTAGAAGATTGGCATTTCAAGTCTACACAGAGGCATGTTAGAAGAGAGAACTTGTGACTTACTTCTGAAAATTTAGTCAATGAAAACTCTATGGAACACAGTTCTATTACGACACACATGGAATCACCATGAGTTAGAGTCAAATCCATAATAACTGGGCTTTTAAAAAAATGACATAACAATACAGGCAGAAAAATATCTGTTATAAAACCAGTTATAAAATTGAGGCTAGAGAAAGCATACCTGAGTTCTTTAGTTCTTCACTGCTAAATTGATATAGGAGATCATACACACCACCCAGTGATCCAGAGGTGAAATAGTGAGTCCCAAATTCATCAAATATCCGGCTATACAAAGCAAAATTGTATTCCAGTGGCAGATGGTTAAGTGCTTTTAAAAAGACATCAGAAAGCTGCAAATCTCTACTCTTCATTGTAAAGTTTAAGACTTTGATTGCTTTATGGATCCTAATAAAATTAGAATCCTAAATGGAAGGGAAACAAAGATAATTAACATAATAAATGCTTGAGGAATCAAATATTTAAATGTCATCAATTTATCATTAGCTTCATTCCTACCACAATGTTACAATTTTAACTTTCTATTGCATCTTCTCATATGTAAAATTAGAACTCTACTTTCCAGTAACTCTCCTTGGTATTTTCAGAATGTTCAACACATAATATTATCTCAGTAATGTAGACTGTGTGACTGAGAAGAACAAACATTTTCCACCAACGAAGACAGCAATGATAAGTCTTTCTCTCTTGATTGCAGATCCTGACTGTGTCCCTCCTGAGTGTTTATATAAAAGACCTTGATAATGCAGATCATTGAGAAAGGATTCTGGAAAATTTCAACTGGGAGTTATGCAACTGAATTTCATAGTGCAATTTTGTTTCAAACTGGAAAAAAGCACTTAATTTTTTAGACCTTAATATTCACATGATAAGATGAGGGGTGTGTGCCAGGTAGTAAAATACTTCATACCCCTTTCAACTACAATTAATATGATTCTACATTCTTAGGAGTAAAAATGAGACAAAAATATTTTTTTTCCTTGTCCACCTATATGAAGAAATAATTAAATATACTTGTCATATCTTGTCAGGATAATTTTAGATTGCTGTTCTTAGTTGCCATCAAAATTATTAGACTCAAGGGAAACCCATGTGTACTGAATAGAAATGCTTTGTAGAATTTTTGATTGTCTGTATTATATTTAAGATCTAATTCCTTTTGATTATCCTTTTTCATAACCAGTCAGCTTTTTTTAGTGCATTCATATGTCCTAAATTTAAGGAAAAAAAATTACTTTATCTGATTTCTCCATTTTAGCAGATTGTAGTGCTTGAGTAATAAATAGTAAGGGAGTAAGAAGCATTTTAACAGAAATATTTTAATGTAGATATAAATTATTGAACAGTTATCTTCCTTTATGCTATAATTACGGCACAAAATGACTGCTAGCACAAAAGGATGCGAACATAATCCCAAGGTTTGAAATTTATCCTCATTTATCCTCTATTTTCCTTTTCTCTGCTCCCCTTTTGTAAACATTGATATTCTAGGCAATAGTAAGGTAACTTTGGTATGGATTATATCTCAATGTCAAGAACACAAAAATCCTCACCACTGGACCAATAAACAACATTCTTATCAATGGAGAAAAGATTGAAGTTGTCAAGGACATCACTCTTCTTGGGTCAACTATCAACACTCACGGAAGCAGCAGTCAAGAAATCAAATGACGTATTGCACTAGGCAAATCTGCTGCACGAGACCTTTTGAAGTGTTGAAGAGCAAATATGTCAGCTTGAGGACTAAGGTGCGTCTGATCCAAGCCATGGTATTTTCAGTAACCTCATGTGCGTGTGAAAGCTGCACAGTGAAAAAGGAAGACTGTAGAAGAATTGTTGCCTTTGAGTTATGGTGTTGAAGGAGAATATTGAAAGTGTCATGAGCTGACAAAAGAACCAATAGATCTGTTTTGGAAGAAGTGCAGCCAGAGTGCTCCTTAGAAGACAAGATGACCAAACTTTGTCTCTCATACTTTGGACATATTGTCAGAAGGGAGCAGTCACTGGAGAAGGGTATCATGTTTGGTAAGGTGGAGGGTCAGAAGAAAAGAGGAAGACCCCCAATGAGATGGATAGGCAAAGTGGGCTCAAGTGTGGCAACAGTAGTGAGGATGGCCCAGGATCAGGCAGTTTTTCTTTCTGTTGTGCATAAGGTTGCTATGGGTTGGTACCAACTTGATGGCACCTAACAACAACAACAACAACAGTAAGCTATCTCAAATTGACCGTTTTGATTTAGACAACTACATCGTTTACTATGCCGGGAAAGACAAATTGAAGAGGCATGATGTCACATAAATCATCAAAGAGATATTTCAAGATCTATCTTGAAGTACAACTCTATCTGTGCTAGGATAATATCCATATGCCTACAAGGAAGATCACTTAATAAAACCACTATTCAAATATACACACCAAACACTAAAGCCAGTGATAATAAAATTAAAGAACTCTACCAACTTCTTCAGTCTGAAATTGATCAAACATGCAATGAAGATGTATTGATAATTACTGACAATTAGGATATAAATGTTGGAAACAAAGAGGAAGGATCAGTAGTCAGAAAATATGGTCTAGGTGATAGTAATGATACTAGATATTGCATGACAGAATTTTGTAAGACCAGTGATCTCTTCATCACAAAAAATGTTTTTAAAACAACAAAAAATCCTACCATACAAATGAACCTCACCAGATGGAATACACATTAAAAAAAATTGACTACATCTGTGGAGAGGGGTGGTGGTAAAGCTTCATATCAGTGGTCAAATTAAGACCAGAGGTAGACAGTGGAACAATCAATTGCTCACATGTAAGTGCAGGCTAAAGCTGAAGAAAATTAAAACAAGTCCACAAGAGCTTAAATACATACCTGAGTTAAGAGATCATATGAAGAACAGATTTGATACATTAGGAACTAAAGACCAGAGAGTTGTGAGATGACATCAAATGTACCATACAGGAAGAAAGCAAATGGTTATTAAGAAGACAAGAAGGAAAATACCAAAATAGGTGCCAGAGGAGACTCTGAAGCTTGCTTTCCAGCATGGAGATGCTAAAGCAAATGTAAGAAATAATGAGGTAAAAAAAACTGAATAGAAAATTTTGAAGGACAGCTTGAGAAGACAAAGTCAAATATTATAATAATATGTGCATAGACTTGAAATTAAAAAATCAAAAGGGATAACATGCTCAGCATTTCTCAAGATGAGGAAACTGAAAAAAAAAATCAAGTCTTGACTTGAAATATTGAAGGATTCTATGGGAAAATTACTGAATGGTGCCAAAAGCATCAAAAGAATATGGAAGGAATACACAGAGTGACTGTAGCAAAAAGAAATGGTCAATGTTCAACCATTTCAAAAGGTAGCTTATGATCAAAAGCCAATGAAACTGGTGTAAGAAGCCCAAGGTGCATTGAAGTCACTGGCAAAGAACAAGGCACCAGGAATTGATCAAATACAAATTGAAATATTGCAACAAACTGATATGGCACTAAAGGCACACACTCATCTATGCCAAGAAATTTGGAAGATAGGTACCTGGCCAACTGACTGTAAGAGATTCATATTTGTGCCCAGTCCAAAGAAAGGTGACCCAACAGAATGTGGAAACCATTAGACAATACCATTAATACCTCATTCAAGTAAAATTTTGCTAAAGATAGTTCAAGAACAGATTCAATAGCACATTGCCAGAGAACTGCCAGAGGTGCAAGTTGGATGTGGAATGACGGGTGTCATTACTGACGTCAGATGAATCTTGGCCTAAAACAGAGAATACCAGAAAGATGTTTATCTGTGCTTTATTGACTATGAAAAAGCTTTAGATTGTGTGGATCATGACAAGCTACCAGACAACATTTCAGAGAATAATTATCCCAGAACATTTAATTTTGCTCAAGAGAAACCTGTAAATAGACCAAGAAACAGTTTTTCAGACAAAAAAAGGAACACTGAATGGTTTATAATTAAGAAAGATGTGTGCCAGGATTGTATTCTTTCACCATACTCATTCAGTCTGCATGCTGAGCACACAAGTACAGAACCTGGATTATATGCAGAAGAACACGGCATCAGGATGGGGTAAGACTCCTCAACAACCTCCGATATGCAGATGATACAATTTGCTTGCTGAAAGCAAAGTGGACTTAAAATACAAATGAAGATCAAAGACCACAGTCTTTACTATGGATTACATCTCAATGTAAAGAAAACAAAAATCCTCACCAATGGACCAAAAAATAACATAAATAAATGAAGAAATGAATGAAGTAATCAAAGACTTCATTTTGCTCAAGGCAACCACCAACCCTCACTCATGAAAGCAGCAATCAAGAAATCAAATGACACAGTGCACTGGGCAAGTTTGCCACACAAGACCTCTTTAAAGTCTTCAAGAGCAAAGATGTCAGTTTGAGGACTAAGGTACACCTGACCCAAGCCATGATATTTTCAGTGACCTCATATGCATGTGAAAGTTGGACAGTGAATAAGGAAAACTGTAGGTGAATTGAGGCATTTGAATTATGGTGTTGGAGGAAAACAAAAATATCATGGACTGCCAAAGGAACAAACCAATCTGTGTTGGAAGAAGTACAGCCAGAATGCTTCTTGGAAACCAGGATGGCCAGACTTTGTCTCTCATACTTCAGACATACTATCAGCTGAGACAAGTCCTGGGAGAAGAACATCATGCTTGATAAAGAAAATCCCCCAGTGAGATGGATTATCAAAGTGGCAGAAGCATTGGACTCAAGAGTAACAGTGATTGTGAGTTTGGCAGAGGGCTCCACAGGGTTTCTTCTATTTTGCATAGTGTCTCTATGAGTCTGTGCTGACTTGATGGCACCTAACAACCACAACAAATATAAACACAACCAAATTACATGAGGATGAAACGTTGTATATGTTACCTCTGAAATTTTTGAAGTGGAATATAACTTAAATATACAAAAATTAAGATTTGATAGAAACCCTACTGATTTGATGTATTGATATAATTGCATCAATGTTTTAATTGCTATTAATTTTCACGAAAGAATATAAATATTAGGAATCATTTTTATTACTTTTTTGTAGGATGCTTTAACAGCTTGTCTGAAGGCTGATCTATGGTTGACACTTTGACTTGTCTTGGAGGAGTAGAAAATTGGTACAGAAAAAGAGTCCTTGTATTGACCCGAATAGACACCTTTTTTATTGTCATCATTTTCAAGAGAAATTAAATCCTTGTAGAAATCTGTTTCCAAATCATCCTCTTCATTAATTACCTGGAAATAAGACATAAAGAAAACAACTTAAGAAATATTTGAGCTACTTGTGAATATCTTAACATAGAAACCTTCCATTCATTTCTGTATTCACCATATATTTTTTGAGAACCCATTTTTCTAGAGATGATGAGAAGTGCTGTTTGACCCTGATCTCAGTGTGTTCATTATTTTATTCTAATGTGATTTCTTTCAGAGCTGTTGGTAGTGTTGACTGGGCACAATCTAGTTCTTCTGGTCTTAGGATCACTGAGACTGATGGTCACATGGCCCATTTGTCCATTGGACAATGGTTTCCTTGTGTCTTAGATTTTCATCAGCCTCTTTTCCTCTGGACAGGGTGAGAACAGTAGTTTCACCTTGGATGGCCACTTATGTCTGCTTATGTTTTTTAGGCAGTTTTTAATTTAACTGGTGGCAAAATTGTTAAACAACTCAGTTACAAACTGAAAAGTGAGCAGTTAAAATCCACCCAGAGATACCTCAGAAGACAGTCGTAGCAAACTACTTTTGAAAGGTAACTGTCATTGAAAACCAAACCCTAAGGAACACAATTCTGCTTTGATACATATGGAGTCACTAAGAGTCAGAGTAAATTCATCAGTAATTGGTTTGCTTGTGTGTGTTTGTATTTTCAGAAAACTAAGGCCTGACAAGAAGGAATTCTGCTCTGGTTCCCTCTTCATAGCTTTTCTTTTCTTTAGGTCTTGGGTTTCAGTCCCTGTCTAGCTGAAGACAAAGGACAGTTAATTGAGTCTTCTTGAGTTGTTGTAAGTCTTCATTGACTTTGTCTGGAATTAAGAGGGAAAAAACAGCCAATGGGACTTCACTAGTGTTATCAGTTGGGCAGACTATACTCCAAATACAAGTGAAACCTCTGTTACAGTCATGTGAAGACAAAATATAGGTAAATGAATTAGAACAAGTGTTAAGTAAGTTGATTGAGTAGCAGGTTGTTATGTTAAACATGCTTGCTTAGTTTGGAATTTAAAAAACAATTTCTGTGTATTCCTTCTGTTTTCTTTCTTTTAAAAAAAAAAAAATTGTGAACTGAGTGATAGTTTACATGGAAAACATTGCCTTTGCACCATCATTTCATTGCAATGATTACAATTTCCTCCGTGCATCATCTTTCAACAGTGTTTGCTTCCATTCTCTCTGTTTTTGCTTTTGTTTTGTTTTGTTTTTTTGGGGGGTAAGGGTATGGGCAAAAAAAACACAAAAAAAAACCCCTCAGGAATATATTATAATTTAAACTATCAAAGGGCACATTGTCCTTCCGTCTTCTTTTGATACTTTCTGCATAAGAAAATATTTTGCCTGTAGAATCCTCCAGTACTGTAAGTTGAGGTTTGGAGTTTTTCTTCAGTAATTTTCAGCTTGAGACATGTTGAGCATGTTCTTCTGTTTTGGTTTTCTGATTCCAAGTCATCACATTTCATTATAATAATTTACTTTGTTTTCATGCCACCCTTTGATATTTCCTGTTCAGCTCTTTTATATCATCATTTCTTCCATTGCTTTAGCATCTGTACATTCAAGATTAAGTTTCAGAGTCTCTTCTGTAATTCATTTTGGTCTTTCTTTTTTTCCTGTCTTTTAAATGATCTTTTGCTTTCTTCCTGTATGATGTGCTTGATGTCATCCCACAACTCTTCTGGTCTATAGTTATTATATGTTCAAATATATTCTTGAGATATTCTCTAGATCTTTTCTTGAGATATTTTAAAAATTCAGATGGGAAATAGTCAAGGTCATAATGTGAATATCTTGGACTTGTTACCATTTTCTTCAGTTTCAGTCTTAACTTGCATATGAGCAAATGATGGTCTGTTCCACAGTTAGCCCTTGGCTTTATTTTGACTGATAGTATTGTGCTTCTTCATCATTTCAGCGAGATGCAGACCAGTGAGACCCAGCCTCTCCAGAGCCTGAAGAACAAGAAGAAGGAAAACCTTCTGCCACCCAGGAGAAGAAAAACACCAAACTGTTTAGCAAAACCACTGCTAAATTATCCACTAGTGCTAAAAGAATTCAGAATTCAGAAATCACCCTTGATCCTCCTCCTAACTGCAGTGCTGGGCCTAAAAGAGACAACTTATATGAATGGAGATCAACTATACTTGATCCACCAGGTTCTGTATGTGAAGTTGGTGTGTTTTTTCTGGACATCACATTTTCATCAGATTATCCATTTAAGGCACCAAAGGTTGCTTTCCGCATCAGAATTTATTACTGCAATATCAACAGTCAGGGAGTCATCTGTCTGGACATCCTTAAAGATAGTTGGAGTCCTGCTTTGACTATTTCAAAGGTTTTGCTGTCTATCTGTTCACTTTTGACAGATTGCAATCCTGCGGATCCTTTGGTTGGAAGCATAGCCACTCAGAATTTGACCAACAGAGCAGAGTATGACAGGCTATCCAGACAGTAGACCAAGAGATATGCAACACAATTCCCATAATTTGTATGCAGTGTGAAGGAGCAGAAGGCATCTTCTTATGTGCTGCAAATCTTTATAGCCTTTACAATACGGACTTCTGTGTATATGTTATACTGATTCTACTCTCTGCTTTTATCCTTTGGAGACTGGGAGATTCCCTAAAAGGTAAATACTATCAAGAGTAGAACTTTGTAGCTGTAGATTAGTTATGTTTAAAACTCCTACTTGCAAGTCTTGCTTCTTTGGGATATCAAAATGTATTTTGTGATGTACTAAGGATACTGGTCCTGAAGTCTACCAAATATTATAGTGCATTTTAGCCTAATTTATTATCTGTATGAAGTTATAAAAGTAGCTGTAGATGACTAGGAATTATGTCATTTGTATTAAATCCAGATCTATTTCTGAGTCTGTGGTACATGCTGTTGTGAAAACATTTTACCCTTTATATTTGTAAGTTTGTAATGAGAGGATTTCCTTTTACCCTTTGTAGCTCAGAGAGCACCTGATGTATGATCTCAAACACAATAAACATGCTTTTTTTTTTTTTTAAGAACACCACCACTTTTATTTGGGGCTACTTGGGAACCCAGTATATCACCACAGAAATGACTGGGGTTGCGAAGTGACTCTAAAATCAGTCAGTGGGAATATGGAATTCAGACAGGGCCACAGAACTGGGATAGTCAAGTAGACAGTGTACAGCCATTCTGAACGTTAGTGGCATACATGATCGTTTGCCTACTTATGCCAGATGATGCTGATTGACCTGGACCAGGGATTCTCCTTTGACTTTTAGATGTGATGATGACCTGAAGGGCAGCCAAGTATCCACTTGGTGCCCTTTGACTGTATTCAGTATGATTAATACTCTCCTCCTGTGAACAGTACTTCCAAACCTGACCAATGCCAGGTTCCCAGAGGGCCTAAAAGATAGTCTGCAGTCTTGATGAAGCCAGTGCCTTCTGGGAAAGAAAGCATTCACTCTGGAAGCCACATGCCAAGAAATAGGATCAGGGTCCCTGGGTCCCACTTGTCTGGTGGGTGTAGAATCCTGATGCCCAGTGTCCTTCCTGAGCTCAGGTCTCCTGGCTACCAGCATCCATACTGGAGGTGAGAAGTGGTCAGCTCTAGGGAGTCCACTGCTGGGTCAGGTGGTTTCTGATATTTGACTCTTGCAGTCCCTAGCTTGTTCACTTAGTTTGGACAGAGTCTGGGGCTAAGGGCTCAGCGGGGCCAGATATAGCCAACTTGATTCCTGTGTATTCAATCCGCTAAGGTCCAGATCTACAGTAGCCATTTACATTGATGATAAAAGGTATTTGTGATGAATAAGTCATCAGTCATGCAAATTTTTATTAAGCAATCTCCAGTATTGTTTCTATCACCAAGACATTTTTTCCAACTACTGATACCTACTGATACTTCCTCTTTGTTTCGAACTTTGCCATTCCAATCACCAATAATTATGAATGCATCTTGATTGCATTTTTGGACATTTTCAGAATGAAGAAGTTGGTAGAATTCTTCAATTACCTCATCACTGACTTTAATAGT